CATTCTTTGCTGTAAAACTCTCGAGAAAATACATAAAACTGGATACAAACAAGGAATAGGAAGTCAGACACCTTTTAGAAATAAATATTGGGATAAGAATAGCATGATAATCTTAAGAAGTATGTTTAAAAGTATACTCATAGGATATCTTTGATCTCACAATGGGAGAATTAGTCGCGATACCCCTAAAAAGTAGTCACAATACTGCCAAAAATTTACGGTCTAAATATTTTCTTGGTGAGAACCCTCAAATAGCACATCGTTTATTGGCATTAAGCATATCAGTCAATTGGCCACATTCACCAAAATGCAATGGATGAATCTCTACAATTAGTGCTACAATTTTCATTCAAATTACATTATATTTACTGTATCTATAGAAACTGTTTATTTTACTAAAAAGCACATCCTTTGGCTGCTTAAGCTTATCAGTCATTTTACTAAAACTTACCGAAATGCAATAAATGCATTGCTAAAATTAGTATAACAATTTTCACACATTTCAGAATGCTCTTTCACATGGAACAATATTACAATTTTGATGGCTAAGACATATCTTCAAAAGCTTTTTAATGTTTGAGTAATAACAAATAAGGTCAAAATGTATTCAACTTGTGCTATACTAATATTAATTTGTGGTGGTATATGTATAGTATATGATGTCACAGTTAAGTATCCATATTATTGTCAACTTAGGGTGAAGCCTTTCGACTTGATGCCAGTACCCTCTTGCCATCCCCCCCCCCCTTCCCTGACTTTTCTCATTTGTAGGTTTTGTATGTTCATGATGAACCCAGACCAATGAACTTTGTTCAAATAACCGGGCGGTCATCCACTTTGTCTCCCAATTAACTCATTAGTTTACAATATACACTTAATATCTACTGTATTGATGTCAGCATGCATATTTTGTAAGTTGATACTTTTGATTGCCAATTGTCAATATACTTATGTTATAGTGAGTGTTCATAATGTCATACTGTACGCCCGGTATTATTCGCGTGCGATTAACTTTCGCGCTTTTCGCGAGGGTGTTAAAATCGCGAAAAATTATCGTCGCGAAATTGCAAATTAAATCCCCGGGAATTTGTTTTTACCCGGGGCTCTGATGCATTTCGTTTTATCTACTAGTTTGGATCGAGTTATAGTACTTCAATAGTACTGTGCAACTCCATGACTTTACTATGCGCATGCGCGGCAATGAAAGCGCACGTGCGCACGATTGTTCACGTGATCGTAGCCTGCAATTTGATTGGACATCATATACTGGGGAATGCCCGAATACGATAAAATACAGTATTCGCGAAATTTAATAGCCGCGAAACCGTGTTTTCGCAAAATTCGCGAAATTAAAGCTCGCGAATAATACCGGGCGTACAGTATATGAATATCCAGAAAATGCAGTATGCCTAATCTGTGAAAACTGAGTCCAGCAGAAGATTTAACAACTCTTCATCTGTCAGAAAACTTTGTGCCAACACCACTGTTCAACAGCTGGATGACTCTAACTGCAGTTAGCTTCATTCAAGATGGTTGCCAAGATTCTTTCGTCAATAAATCCCATATTTCAGCTAAACTAAGTTGAATCTTGATTCCAAAAGTTTTGCCATGCAAATTAATAAAACTACGATTGTATTCAACCACAAATGAATGCCCAAACACCCGCAATGTAAGAGAATTTTAAAGAGAACTGCATCACTTAGAATGACTCTAACTGAAGTTGATAACCTATGTCATCATTACGTCATCATCAACTTCAGTTGGAGTCATTCTAGGTGAAGCCATTTTCTTCAAAATTCTCCAATATCGCGGTTGTTTCAGCATTTATTTGTGGTTATTATCCCATCGAACGAAGTTCGGAGGGATATAGGGAACGCCTCCGTCCGTCCGTATGTACGTCCATCCGTCCGTACGTACGTCCATCCGTCCGTACGTACGTCCGTCCGTCCGGGCAATAACTCAAATACCGTTGGCCCGATTTTCTTCATATTTTGTACACATATACCCTATGAGGGTAGAAGTTCTGCTCGAAAGCCGATTTTCAAAATGGCCGCTCATTTCAAAATGGCGGCCATTTTAGTGCCGAATTTACAGTAATTTAGGTGCAATATGTAAAACTGTAACAGCAATATGTTTTAAATGTAAAAAAAATTAGATAGGACATAAATAAAGCTAGAAATGTAGACATTAAAGAAGCACATGGCAGCCATCTTGAAAAATGGCAGCCTTTACTCGTTATTTTACAATTTTTGCTGTAACTCGAAAAGTAGTGGAGCGATTTTGTTCATATTAAGTATGTGAATACTATAAACATTGCACACTGTCTAAAGACACTTTTGGTAGAAGGCGGCCATTTTGAAAAATGGCCGCCATTTTGAAAAATTACCACCATTTTAACGTATTTTACTATAACTTGAAAAGTAGTGAAGCGATTTTGTTCATATTTGGTATGTGAATACTACAAGCATGACACACTGTCCTATGACACTTTTGGTAGAAGGCAGCCATTTTGAAAAAGATTTTGAAAAATGGCCATGGCCGCCATTTTAACGTATTTTACTATAACTCGAAAAGTAGTGGAGCGATTTTGTTCATATTTGGTATGTGAATACTATAAGCATGACACACTGTCTAATGACACTTTTGGTAGAAGGTGGCCATTTTGAAAAATGGCCGCCATTTTAACGTATTTTACTATAACTTGAAAAGTTGTGGAGCGATTTTGTTTATATTTGGTATGTGAATACTATAAGCATGGCACATGGTCTAATATAACTTTTGGTAGAAGGCGGCCATTTTGAAAAATGGCTACCATTTTTTGCTATATACTTTGTTTGTAAAAATGCCATCCATGGCTGTTCGATGGGGTTCGCTACGCTTTGGCGTTGCCGTTGTTCTGGTTACCATCGTAGCTTTATTAATTTGTATGGCGAAACATTTGGAATCAAGATTCAACTTAGTTTAGCTGAAATCGGAGGTTATCGAAAACGAAAGAATTTCGGCAACCATCTTGAATGAAGCTAACGGCAGTTAGAGTTATCCAGCTGTGGAAAAGTGAACACAAAGTTCATTAAGAGGTCCATTCCATGAAGATCAATCCAGGTAAGAGATTTACTGAATGTGATTAAGTTGATTTAATACTTGTAGTTTTATAAGGAATAGAATGACAAGTTGTATTGATCCATTCAGTCAATGGTTAAGTTCACATAAAGAAGAGAGGTCGAATAAAAAGATGTAGGACTTGCTTTAAGTATCTGCTTAAACAAGATTTTGACAAAATAAGTGATAAATATCACAAGATGTCATTGAAAAGGATTGGCAGTCAGGTAGCTAACTTGTAGAAAATACCTATTTTCATGCTCTAAAGCACTGCACCACTATCAGAGTAGGTCCATTTAAAGTTTCTTAGCGAGTTAGGCTAAGATATATGAAGCTGACAAAGTAAGTATACATTTATTTTCCTATGGACCATTTTAAGAAATGATGCATTTTCAGGCATGTAGTAAGGCTTTATTAACTCATAGCTGACCAAAGCTATTCATGAGGTTTTCTGCTGGTGACTTGCTATTTTTATTTCTTATTTTTTGATGAAAAATTGAGCAAATTACCATATTTTGATATTACCATAATGGACTGGATCAACACCTCCTGCACTACTCTTTATGCCATTGTGAAGTCAATGACACTATATTTCAATTGCACCCAACCATGGTCTCCTAGTGACCCTTACAATATTTTGTAAGGTTATTGGTATAGATGGTGACATGCATGACTGAACAGCACCCTGAGATATCTACGGGTTGTTAGATACGATTATGACGTCATAGATGAAATATCTCGGGGTTGGTCAGCAATGAGTTAACCAAATCATTACTTGTTTAATTGACAAGTGACACCATACAGTATGTTAGCATTGAGGATATCCAATAGGATAATGCTCACCTTTTTTGGCATTAATGTTCAAGGGAATATACTGTAAAAATTTGCATCGGTATACTGAGACAGTGAAGTACTTTAGATATATAGAAATGAAGGAATATAATTATATGATAATATATATATATATAAACCACTGTCCAAGCTAATTATACAGTTGCATGATTTGAAGAGTTGTCCAAAAGTTTAGAAAGGGAGTCTGAGTTTGGGTCGATATGGGGGAAAATAGGACAAAGGGACAATAAAATATCCTTATACCAAACTAGGCAGAATGCAAGAGAATTCATACATGTGTGTTATGAATTGTTTAAGGTAGATTCTTTCAATGTCACCTTTTTCTTTTAATTTTTCACATATTTCTCTTCTCTTCTGTCAGTCTGATCAAATGGTCTAATTTCTGAAAATCAGGATGATTATTTATTGGAATGTACCTGCTTGAATATAACAAGGCTCTTATTGTAGTAGTTCATTGCTACCTTATATTTACCCATAGCGTAATATACAATACCAATATTGGCAAATAACCCAGCAGTGCCAGTATGAGGATGATCACCATGAATCAGCTTCCACATGGTCAGACTCTCCTCATGTATTTTATAGACTTGTTATAGTCTCCTTTAGATCGATAAGCAGTACCAATATTATTTAATGAGTCTGCTATGTCATTGTGAGGATGATCACCATGAATCAGCTTCCTCATGGTCAAACTCTCCTCATGGTATTTTATAGACTTGTTATAGTCTCCTTTAGATTTATATGCAATACCGATATTATTTATTGCGGCTGCTATATCAGTGTGAGGATGATCACCATGAATCAGTCTTCTCATGGTCAGACTCTCCTCGTGGTATTTTATAGACTTGTTATTGTCTCCTTTAGATTGATATGCATCAGAAATATTATATAATGAGTCTGCTATGTCAGTGTGAGGATGATCACCATGAATCAGTCTCCTCATGGTCAGACTCTCCTCATAGTATTTTATAGACTTGTTATTGTCTCCTTTAGATTGATATGCAGTACCAGTATTATTTAATGAATTTGCTATATCAATGTGAGGATGATCACCATGAATCAGCTTCCTCATGGTATTTTATAGACTTGTTATTGTCTCCTTTAGATTGATATGCATCAGCAATATTATATAATGAGTCTGCTATGTCAGTGTGAGGATGATCACCATGAATCAGTCTCCTCATGGTCAGACTCTCCTCGTGGTATTTTATAGACTTGTTATTGTCTCCTTTAGATTGATATGCATCAGCAATATTATATAATGAGTCTGCTATGTCAGTGTGAGGATGATCACCATGAATCAGTCTCCTCATGGTCAGACTCTTCTCGTGGTATTTCATAGACTTGTTATTGTCTCCTTTAGATTGATATGCATCAGCAATATTATATAATGAGTCTGCTATGTCAGTGTGAGGATGATCACCATGAATCAGTCTCCTCATGGTCAGACTCTCCTCGTGGTATTTTATAGACTTGTTATTGTCTCCTTAAGATTGATATGCAATACCAATATTATTTAATAAATTTGCTATATCAATGTGAGGATGATCACCATGAATCAGCTTCCTTATGGTCAGACTCTCCTCATAGTATTTTATAGACTTATTATAGTCTCCTTTAGATTGATATGCATTACCAATATTATTTAATGAGTCTGCTATGTCAGTGTGAGGATGATCACCATGAATCAGCTTCTTCATGGTCAGACTCTCCTCATAGTATTTTATAGACTTGTTATAGTCTCCTTTACATCGATATGCAGTACCAATGTTATTTAATGAGGCTGCTATGTCAGTGTGAGGATGATCATCATGAATCAGCTTCCTCATGGTCAGACTCTCCTCATGGTATTTTATAGACTTGTTATAGTCTCCTTTAGATTGATATGCATTACCAATATTATTTAATGAGGCTGCTATATCAGTGTGAGGATGATCACCATGAATCAGCTTGTTCATGGTCAGACTCTCCTCATAGTATTTTATAGACTTGTTATAGTCTCCTTTACATCGATATGCAGCACCAATATTATTTAATGAGGCTGCTATATCAGTGTGAGGATGATCACCATGAATCAGTCTCATCATGGTCAGACTCTCCTCATGGTATTTTATAGACTTGCTATTGTCTCCTTTAGATTGATATGCAGTACCAATATTATTTAATGAATTTGCTATATCAGTGTGAGGATGATCACCATGAATCAGTCTCCTCATGGTCAGACTCTCTTCATAGTATTTTATAGACTTGTTATAGTCTCCTTTAAATTGATATGCATTACCAATATTATTTAATGAGGTTGCTATATCAGTGTGAGGATGATCACCATGAATCAGCTTATTCATGGTCAGACTCTCCTCATGGTATTTTATACACTTGTTATAGTCTCCTTTAGATTGATATGCAATACCAATATTATTTAATAAATTTGCTATGTGAGTGTGAGGATGATCACCATGAATCAGCTTCCTCATGGTCAGACTCTTCTCATGGTATTTTATAGACTTGTTATAGTCTCCTTTACATCGATATGCAATACCAATATTATTTAATGAATTTGCTATATCAGTGTGAGGATGATCACCATGAATCAGCTTCCTCATGGTCAGACTCTCCTCATGGTATTTTATAGACTTGTTATAGTCTCCTTTAGATTGATATGCATTACCGATATTATTTAATGAAGTTGCTATGTGAGTGTGAGGAAGATCACCATGAATCAGCTTCATCATGGTCAGACTCTCCTCATGGTATTTTATAGACTTGTTATAGTCTCCTTTAGATTGATATGCAATACCAATACAATTTAATGAATTTGCTATACCAGTGTGAGGATGATCATCATGAATCAGCTTCATCATGGTCAGACTCTTCTCATGGTATTTTATAGACTTGTTATAGTCTCCTTTAGATTGATATGCAGAGCCAATATTATTTAATGAATTTGCTATATCAGTGTGAGGATGATCAAGATGAATCAGCTTCCTCATGGTCAGACTCTCCTCATGGTATTTTATAGACTTGTTATAGTCTCCTTTAGATTGATATGCATTACCAATATTATTTAATGAGGCTGTTATGTCAGTGTGAGGATGGTCACCATGAATCAGCTTCATCATGGTCAGACTCTCTTTATGGTTTTGTATAGATCTGGTGTAGTCACCTTTAGAGCTGTATGCAAGGCCGATGAGGGATATTGAGATTGCTAACCTTATGTTATGATGGTCCCCATACAATTGTTTCAACAATATCATACTCTCATTGATGTATTTTATTGCTATATTATTCTCTCCTTGTGATAGATACACTCTGGCTATGTTGTGTTTCACATCACTTAGCTCAATTTCATGACCTTTTGTTGTGAGTGATAAGATTCTTCCCTCTTCTTGTTTAAATGTCTCAATTGCACTGTTACAGAAATTCATGTTTTTATACAGCTCAGCTTTTATTCTGTAACTTGTATCTATATACCTTTGTTTATTTTCAAGAGTTCTATCTACTTTTAAATGTTGCAGAAATTCTGACCAAGGTTTAAATGTCATGAAGAATCTGAATATTGCTGTGTAATCCCGAACAGAAATCATGTTTGAATAATCAACTACGTTCCCTTTTGTTTCAACGTTTGATCTTATTATGAATGATATAGGATCCTGTTGTTCATCATATCTGCCATAGACAAGATGACGCATATTAGTTACTATACAGGTCATTATTTGTAAATCTTTCATTGCTCTCTCACTGAGGATTTTCCTTTGATGTAATTCCTCAAGTATATCAAGTGGGGAAAATGACTGACAGTTATGTAAAAGCTTCAATATGTTAATTGAGATTGTGGCAAATCTGTATATAGTGTGTTTTGTGTGTATTTTTTTACTAAATGACTCTGGCGCAAGAGGATTTCTAATGTAATTTTCTAAATCCTCTGCCAGTGTTTCCAGCCCACGTTCCCTGCCTATTGATATGTTTGGGTTATTAGTAGAAGATGATGCTAGTATTATGTGAACCTTGTTATTATATTGTTCCCAGAGAGCAAGGTCTCCTTTTATAAGGGTGGATGTGAGAAGGACATCACTGAGATGATACCCTTCCTTAATGGACACATCTTCTTGCTGACACTGAGCCATCTCTTCAACAGTCATTATCAGTTCTAGACCTGTACATTTGTTAGGATTTCGTGTTGATTGCCTACCAAATGGAGTTTTGCTTGCTTTTGGTTGGGTACCATCAAAGCTAAGACCTCTCTTTGTGATTGTGTCATAAAAGTCATTGTTTTTCAAATGTTTAGGGAGTTTATCATTGAAATCATTAAGAACTGGGATGTCAAGATTGTTAATCAATGTCTCCCCAAGATTTATTATCTTCATATGGAAATAATGCACAAGAGTTCTGAATTCTTGCTTTATTTCTTTGATTTCATTCTCTGTTTTGTCACCTGGGTCATACAGAATGGCCGACTCAAGATCTGACCAGGCCGTTGCCTCTTTTCGAGCCAGCGATCCTAGACCCAAAATGGCATACCTGCACTTTGGTGCCCCAAGGACTGATATGCAATCATCAAGCATTGTGTTATATAGAGATATAATGAACTCTATCAGTTTATCATAATAATCCCTGCTATGAGCAATTGTTTCATCTTCATTTTCATTAGTCATTTCAGATGTGACACTGTCAATTTGCATATCATTAATATGAATAGCATTTACAGTCTCATTGGAATATTCCCTTAATTTCTCAATTTCTTCTTTGTATTTCTTTGTACAACTCAATGTTGGTTCAGTGTTTTTTTTACATACAGTTTTCAGAAAGTTGGTCTCTATTTGTTGCAGATGTTGGTTTATATAGTCAACATTACAATGACTATCTGAGTTTGTTACCTGATCCTTTTCAATCCGTTGTTTTGCAGAATTAAAGAGTGCTGCAGCCCAATTAAAGTGCCAACCATCTGATGTTTCTTTCCCTAGTTCTGCATATTCATTTCCAAGCTTACACATCAGTTCAGCTTGCTTGGTCAGCTCTCCATCCTTATTGCATGCTACAATCTGATGGCCCAACTTATACATGGCATCTGTAGCCTCTAAAATGAACAGATACAAGTTTATAAATTTTTTCTGTTCCCTCTTAAATAATGAAATACAAGTCAACCAATGGCATCTATAACTCCTAAAATAACCAAATACAAGGATACTTATGGTATCTGTGACCTCTAAAATAACCAAATACAAGTACACTTATGGCATCTGTAACCTCTAAAATAACCAAATACAAGTATACTTATGGCATCTATAACCTCTAAAATAACCAAATACAAGTATACTTATGGCACCTGTGACCTCTAAAATATCCTAATACAAGTATACTTATGGCATCTGTGACTTCTTAAATAACCAAATACAAGTATACTTATGGCATCTGTGACCTCTAAAATAACCAAATACAAGAATACTTATGGCATCTGTGACTTCTTGAATGACCAAATACAAGTATACTTATGGCATATGTGACCTCTAAAATAACCAAATACAAGTATACTTATGGCATCTGTGACTTCTTGAATGACCAAATACAAGTATACTTATGGCATATGTGACCTCTAAAATAACCAAATACAAGTACATGTATACTTATGGCATCTGTGACCTCTAAAATAATTCGATTCAAGTATGTCACTGGCAGTGCATTTGTTGACTCAACACTGTAATATATCAATTGTATCTAGAGGCTCTCAAAAATAATCAAATTCAGACAAATCAATGGTATATGTGTCTTCTTCAACAATCAAATTCAAACAAATCAATTGTATATGTGTCTTCTTGAACAATCAAATTCAAACAAATCAATGGTATATGTGTCTTCTTGAACAATCAAAATTAAACAAATCTATCATATATGTGTCTTCTTGAACAATCAAATTCAGACAAATCAATCTTATATGTGTCTTCTTGAACAATCAAATTCAAACAAATCAATGGTATATGTGTCTTCTTGAACAATCAAATTCAAACAAATCAATGGTTTATGTGTCTTCTTGAAAAATCAAATACAAGTTTATCAGTAAATCTCTTTACCTAGTGGGTTTGGCCCTGGGTTGGTTTCAATCCCAGCTCTCATCAAAAGTTGTTGTATCAATCGTAAGGAGACAGGGCTGTTTCTGTATGCTGAGGGGTCTCTGTTTGCCGAGTGTCCTCGATGGATAAACATCCCTATGGCTCCGCGCCACTGTTGTGTTGAAATACCCATGATTCAGAGTCTCCACTCCAAATAGAATATGTCAGCTTGGCATTATAATCATATGGTTGAAAGTCCCTTTATGGTTCTGGGCTGAGTCACTGTTTTGACGATTGTTGTGATGTATTACCCATGCTTCAGTTGAATTGCCTCAACTACAAGTATAATGTGTTAATATGAGATTTTTTTTAGTTTTGTAGTCAAATCATGCCCTCATAGCAATTCAGATAATAAAGTTACCTTTTGATTTGATAATCAATCTAGTTTACTCTTAAAGTTTCGTTGTTTCTTCTCACTCCAGATACCATACAAAAATGCTAATTGAGGTAGTTTCAAACTCTGGGCAAATTAGAGTTATAAAATTACATACTGCTAATTAGCTAAATAAATGGTGCCTTAGATCCTGACAATGAATGAAAGTCTATAATATAGCCTAATATCCCAGATGCGAGTAGAAATAATCTTGATTTACGTCATTAAAAATTCACAATTCAGTCAAACTGATGTCATATTTGGAATCTACATGTAAAATTGCATTTAGAAATGTGGTTTTGAAAAGAGTTTAACAACTTTGAAAATTTAATTTTCTTTGAAAATGTGACTTCTAGGTCGGGGAGATTCCCCATAGACCCCATGTTGTAAAACCACAAAAAGTGAAATATCTTTTCTTGTGTTGGGCAGACAATATTTTATTTTACTGGACATATTTTAATTTGTAGAACTATCAGATACATAAAGGTAATATGAAAAGTGAACCACTAAAACTGATGCATATTCAAGTATAAAATACTAGTCCGAATAGCATACACAACTTATAATAATGTGGTAAGCGTGGTAAAAAGTGATGCAATGACTAGTCTTTTATTGTTTGCATTAATTAAGCAAACACAAAATAATCAATTCAAATGAATAATAAAGTGCAAGCTAACCCACTACCAAAGTGCAATGGGTAAGATTTAGGTGGGGATGCAGGCAAAGGTTCACACAAAATCACACATAGATACAATGAATATGATTAAGATCGATGATTTTATTGTAAAACATGAATATGATAAATATAAAGAGTCATGCAATATGATATATGGAAAGTTATATATATTAAAAGTGATAATCTAATATGTATAGGTCGATATATAATAACTACATGTATACTGTGATTAGAAATGCGGAAAATGCTTGAATTAGTTTTGTGAAAGTTTATGTAATACTCTAGATCTTTTCCCGGGGGATCTGTTTTCATGAACGTAAGTTCAGAATCATAATATCAATTGTAACATGTAAAATGCTATCCAAAACGGTTTTGTGTTATGATTTCAGAATATGAATTATCTGTTTACATATAACAGTATAAGTCTTGGTCTTGAAATAGTTAGCCTAGAAAACGTATGAATAATTGTGTTGATAAATTGTCTTCGCACAAAGTTCAGACTTACAGACGCCAAGGAATTCAACCTTTGACCCCAAATTGCTTCTGACTGATCCAGAAAAGAATGTGTAAAATTATGTTAAGAAATTGTCTTAATATTCAATCTCTCTTTAAATTGTACTATGAAATTTCTAATGATTCAATATATCAGTAAGAATGTTGGCAAATTAATAAACGGATGTGTTGGTAAACATTAGGTCACGTGATATCAACAAAAGCCGTCTGCTTTTATAAATGGCGCTAAAATATTCGATTCGCTACTCAAACCTGATATAACCATTCATCCCGCTACGGGGCCTTTATATTTCATGTGAAAGTAGATTCGCAATTCATAGACTTCTAAAATCAAGACAACTGATACGACAATGTCGATACAATGCCATCAAAACAATCAAAAAATGTCAAATATTTTTCCGGAAGTTTCAAACTCTTCTATCGGTTCAATTCGTTCTCAGTTATCTTGCTATAATCTCGATATAGATTCTTTCAAGATCTAATATTCCATCTGTCAAACCTTACGAAGCTCAAAACTCACTCACCCACATATTTTATGTCTTCTCTCAGTCTCAGCTTGGCTTGTTTCAGTATCGAGCAGAAATGCAGAATGGCTGTGAAAATCAACTACGGCTTTCTCAAAATAGCCTCGCTTTAAATAGAGAATTCCTTAGGGGATTCCCCAAAACATCATATCCTAAATTTAGTAGATTTGTCGAAAAATATGAAACGTTTGCAACTTCTCATTGTTTACCAACATGGTTCGTAGTTCATAGTTGATGGATCATTAACAGATGACTCAAAGATATTCATAGAAGCATAATATTTGGAAGTAATTGAAAGTAAGTGAAAATATAGTTGTTTTGATTTGACTTCCGGGTTATCTGAGATGACGGTATGTTACAACTGCCCCCCTCTAAAGAAAATATTTTGTCCTCAAAATACTAATTATGAGAATAAGATTAAAAATAATTCAATCCCATACAATACATAGTTTAAAGAATACAATACAATACATTCATTATACAATACAAATTCAAAAGATACAATACAACAAAATCCGGTAATACAATACAATGATGGAAAATACAATACAATACAATAATATACAATACATTACACTACAATACAATACAAACACTTTATATACAATACAACATAATTTAAAATAAACAAAAAGCTCTATAAAGATTTTGGCAATGTATATTATCTTAATATTAACACATGTTCTAGAAATTTAGTGTACGCCTTTAACCATACAAACAAACAAGTGCCAAGTTCCAAGGAAACAAATCTCAAAGGTTTATATATCTGGTTTGTATGACAGTCAATTATCAATCTTTAATTAAAGTCTAGTCCCAAGTCTGGCAGGTCATTAAACATGTTGTCCAGTTCCGCCTCATTCGTTTTCATCATATTTGAAATGTCATTCTCTTCATTTTCTATGATGTCCATAACGTCATTTAGAGGCTGATCTGTTCCATATGGCTCTGTCTCAGCGGCAGAAATAGTAGAGGCTGTGTCTGTCTCAGATGTATCCGTCTCAGATGATTCTGCATGTTTTGTTGTAGGCAAGGGTTTAACCGGTTCACAGTTCACTTGTGTGGGCTTGGGTTTAACTGGTTTGGAGATTGATGTAGAGGCTCTGATCTGACGCACGACAGCAGTTGAAGAAGAGGGTGGGAGTGCTAAGATCACAGGAGGCGCTGGAATCACTGGTAGCACATGTTCCCTCTGATGCCTGATAAGCTCATCTCTCTTAGCTTCCGCACATGTGAAATAACACCCTATTCTTTCACATCGTAGAGTCTTCTTGTGTTCAAACTCCATATGTATCCAAAGTGCATTCTCACTGTGAAATTTTTTCATACATATCCATGGCCTGTGCACTTTCTTCCCAGGTGGAGGGCTACACACACTCCTGCAGGTCTGAAATAAATGATTTTTAACAAGTTCCATGACGAATAATCTAATAAATTTCATATTCGTCCATCCAAGCTGGCTTCCTGCGAGCCCTATGCCTTTCATTCCCCTTTGACTTGTTAATTTCAACTTCATCATCAATAGCATCACTTTTCATATTATCATTATTAGAATTGTCATTACTCACATAGTTCTTCAAACGATCATGATGTATGACTCTTGTATCCTTGTCCTTTATCCTGACCTGATACCTCAAATCATCTATTCTATCCAAAATTTCAAAAGGACCATGCCATTTCAATGTCATCTTTGGACTTTGACCAACCTTCACTGCTGGAACATGAACCCAAACCAAAGAACCAGGTTCATATCGTTTTGTGTTTGATTTAATATCATACCCACGTTTCTGTCTGTCACTTGCTATTTGTATATGTTTCCTAGCTACATCATGAATTTTTAGCAAAGTAGATTGTAAATCTTGACAATAGTTAGTGTAATAGGTACTATCAACAAGACCCCGTTCAACATCTGGCGGTGAGCCCAAAAACAAATCAGTTGTAGTTCTAATTTCTCTACCGAACATCAAGAAAGCTGGTGTAAAACCTGTAATAGCATGAACTGCTGAATTGTATGAAGCTACAACAAATGGCAAGCACTCATCCCAATTCCTCTGATCTGATGCAACTATTTTTGACAACATTGCCTCAACAGTTCTATTGGATCTTTCAACCATTCCATCTGATTGGGGGTGATAAGGAGTTGTTCTAGTTTTATGGATATCATACATACTACAAAGCTCCTTAAACAATTTGGATTCAAACTGAGAACCTTGATCAGAGTGGATTTGAAGAGGTGAACCATACAGGCAGAAAAATTTGGAAACAAGAGCTGTTGCAACAGTTTTAGCTTCCTGATTTTGTACTGGCACTAATTGTAAAATCTTACTGAAATAATCCTCAATAGACACAATGTACTTGTTACCAAACAAACTCTCAGGTAATGGTCCTAAAATATCGATAGCAATCCTCTCCAAAGGTGCACCAACATTATACTGTTTCATTGGGGTTCTATGCTTACGATTTGGAGGATTCCTTCTTTGACACAATTGACAAGCCGACACCCAACGAGCTAGATCTGCTTTAAAACCAACCCAGTAGTATTTTGCTCTCAATCTACCAATTGACTTGTTCACCCCAAAATGACCACTGTCTAATGCACCATGTGACGAAGACATGATATCCTCTCTAAATTTCAAAGGAACAACAATTTGCCAAATCACAACTTCAGCATCATCATGAATCCACTTCCTGTAAATTACACCATTCACAATCTTCAATCGATCCCATTGTGACCAGTATTGTTTCAACAAAGTTGATTTGTCAGAAATCTTCGACCAATCAGGTCTATTCCCTGATTCTAACCAAGAGCTCAATGTTTTCAATTGTGGATCTTCCATCAAAGCATGCGAGTAATCATCTTTTGTCAAACCAGGGGACCAGTTTGAACCAGACAATGGCACTGTACTCGACTCTGATTTAATGACCATACACTTAGGTTCCTGACCAAGATCTGCTCTGAAAGCCATCAATTTTGCCTCTTCTTCAATTTCATTAATGACTCTACCTAATTTTTCTTGCCTCAGACAATAAGAACAGTCTGTACATGGTCT